TCAATGAATTCGTAGTAAATATTGAGATTTTCATTTCGAATGCTATGTTACATGTATGCGAAGTATCTGAGTATCTGAGAAAATAAGTCTTAACCCAAATAGCTTTCAACCTTTTCACGTCTAAAGGACTGTTTTTCAATTACATTGTGTTCGCTGCTTTTTGGTTAATTTTCTAATGACATATAAAAATTAAATTGATTTATGAATAAAATAAAATAACGCAAACTACACTGCAGAAAATTCTTCAGAATGAAGTTAATAATACTGAAAAATACATTATTGATGCACTTTTTGGTTTTTATATGTAGTAGTTAATATGGAATCCTTAAATTATATATATCTATGTATAGGTATATATAAATGGAATAAAATATCGAATAAAAATATCTTTAATATACAATGTTCATTACCATATGTATATTTATGCAATATCAATATAAATGGTTAGTTAGGTTTCGTACATGCATAATTTATTTTTATATTTTGTATTTTTTGTATTATATTCAGTATTGTATACTATCTGAAGTTTAATTTTACTTGTTCTCTTTTTGGGTTACGACTTTAAATGAGAAAGAATTGTTGGGGCCTTTATAGGAATTAAGTTATATGCAATCAATTAAGATCCGACTTTTCCTTTCTTTTAATAATTAAATATATAATATACTATTTTATAAGTATACATAAAATATAGCAGTTTTTAAGCTACATATTTATATATCTATTGTTTAGTCTGGTTTGTTTGATTATAGCAAAGCATTTGACGGCTATTTGCCTGAGGGTAAGGATGCCCCGTGGAGAACTTTCTGAGCAAAACTGACTCGTATGGGGAAACTCGTACTCGTTACACATGGGGAAAACCACGGAAACGCCAATACAGCCATTACGTTCATCGGGATTCGGACCCCGGGTCGACCTACCAGTGTTCAACGACTTTACCGCTCAGCTGCTGGTGAGCCACACACACACATATACATTCAATACATTCAATTATATTTACATGTAGTTTATAATGTATAATCGAGTGCAATTTGGAATGATGGTATGGAAAGATCGATTTGTTAATTCATTCCTAGTTTTCAAATCGGATGAAGGGACTCGCAAAAAAAAAAAAAAAAAAAAAAGAGTCGCATTAAAATACGGTCGCTGAACTAAAGTGAGCTATGAAAATTTTAACGAAGGTTTCGTATTTTATCTTATGAAAACAAAGTATCAGAATCTAATGAAATGTTTTACTTCTTAGAAAAATAGAAAATATAAATATTTTGAATAAAAAGAAAATATCTTTAAAAAATAAAATTTATATTTAAATTTACAAAAATATAAGAATTACAAAATATTGCAGAAATTAAATAAAATAGCGAATAAACTTATTCGTCACAAGCTCGCTAAATGTAAAATAGATTGTGCAGTCAGAAAGCTCTCCTTGTCACAGAAATATACTGTTTTGACTAAACTGATTGGTTTAACGGTTATTCAGACTAAAGTGCGAAGTTCAGTGAGTAGCATGTATTTTCCTTTGAATGAATAAACTAGCCAAAAAAAAGGGGGGCACTTGAAAATTAGATGCAAAGTTAACAAATGGATTGAACGAGCTCTCCTACAGACTACCACTATATCTAAGGATTTTCGTGGATTTCTTTAAGGTATATACACTGCTGGACACCCAAATTGCAACACCAAGAAAGACAAGATATATCACAACAAATTTGGTAGATAACACGCTGACCAAGTATCAAATGATTAAATTTATAGACTTCTGTGATGTGTGGTTCCTTCCAGAATCTGCGCTGAAATTCTTATCATTTGCATATCTCACCTTCGCTAATGCATGTTGTAAATTTCCTGTTATTTGCTTGCTTCCTTCAGGGTGTTGCATTTACTGTAGCCAGCAGTGTAAATATGAGCCCATTTTCCTTAGAAAATTCTCCATGAAATCATGCCTAGCCAACCCTTTTATGCTTTGCCATATTCAATCAAATAAGCAAACAAAATCAAAACTAGGATACTTTCCGTAAACAATTAGTGCTGTTCAACTGGAATTGGATCAGATTATTTTTTTATAGCACTGCTTTTCAGCCTCGTAACTTATACGTAGTATGTAATGCTCAGGGGGGGAAAAAGGAACTTCCTAGACGAAAATAATGTAATAATGAAATGTTAATAAACAAATAAATATAATCATTAAATTTATTTGATAATTAAAATCTAATTTGCAGTTATAAGGAGATGTATGTTATTTATAATCCCCAAAAGTGCATACTAATATTATTAAACTGTATAATAAATACATAAGAAAGCACTTCAAAACTTTTCACATCCTATATAATTTGTCTCCATTCTAGTACCATGTATATCCTTGTACACATTACAGACTTACAGTGAAGAGTAGAGGAGAACTCTGTAGCTCCATTCAAGTTTTTATTCTTGATATACTGATACTGAATGAGACCTAAAAACACTTTTCTTTTACAATATATCTCCCCTTACGCACCTGTTTTATTTTCCCCCTTCGCAATTAACGTTAAAGTCCCCTTACTGATCGCATTCGGGACGCCACCGTGGATTCAGCTAGCTACCGAGTTCTGGAATAAACCAAATTACAAGTAGTCTGAATCATAGTTTCTTTTTATTTTGAGTTTTTTCTCTGCGCCTCCAGTTTGAACTTTCTTTCTAATGCTGGCTGACTGTGACAAGGAATGTGGATGCTTTGATTCATTAATTACCTCCCTGTAAGTGAAGTAATTCCAATCTTTAGTTTTACTAAAGAAAGGCAAAATATTCGCTTGCTTTTTCTCACTCATTATGCTTTTATTATCTATTTATTTAAGTCTGAAAACCATAAAAAAATTTAAGAAAATTATTAATGAGGGAAAAATGTCCTTAAAAAGTGTGTAAATTATGTCCTAATTTTTCTGCAGACCATCAAAACTTTTCCACTCACCACCGGTTTGCGACCGCGGCTCCAAACCATTAGCGAAGCCTCAGTACACTACCTTAGGGGTCAAGTTCCGTTTTCAGCTATCTGAAGCGTTTTGGGTAGACAGGAAACAAGATGTACAGTTGTGGAGAGGTAGGTGACCCATATCTCAATCTCTTCCACTAAATGTCCCAATACAGCTCCATTTCATCTCAAGAAATTGGCCGAGGAAGATAGATCACACTGGTTTGAGAACTTGCTACGAAATAAAAAGAGTACTGTGCAAACACGTAGAGATGATGAAATACGGTGCATAAAAATATGCAAACACTTTATTTTGATTTACTTAGGTAGTTTGCCAGCTTTATTTTGATTACCGATTCCATTTTTTACGGTTTTTTTTTTTTTTTTTTTAACTGGAGTGAAATTTAGATACAGTTTTGCAACAGACATGCTGAGCTATGAACTGATTTTTTAAATATAACAGAGGATTACCATTCTTTTGTTGACTTCAGACTATTAAAATCAATAGACTGACACTGAATTCGTGCACAGACTCAGCTTTGATATGTACTAGAACTGGAGAACTTTCACGGAACTGTTTCCATTCATGTGTTTAAAATTTGAACTTATTTACATTCTTTTCACCTTATTAATTACGCACAAAAGTGTTTTGAAACAGGTTTATGTAACAGTCATCTTCACTCATTAATATGAGTATGTAATTACATATGCTTATTTAAGAGTATTTTCATTTAGTGTAACTTTATTTAGTGTTAATATTACTGCAGCTGTTTTCTGTATTAATTTATTGATTCTTTTTACAATAGTAATGAGATCTCCAGTTGTACAGCTCTAGTTCACACTATATTTTTGTAAAAGTATAGCTAGGAAGGTTCTGTATTTTAATTATGCTTGTAACAGTATTTAGTACATCATAATCTGTATCTTTGTGTTCTAACCTTCTTAATGACTTTGAACAGAGACAACATAGAACAGTTTCAAACTACAGGCACCTTCAGCACTTCCCCTCTCAAACGACATTACATTTTAGCGTCTTGAATTTTGAAATCAACTATTTTTCTCATTTCAGCACCTTTGGCCTAGCCCTTTGACTGAGTTTAGCTTCTCACGGAACAATACTAAAAACACCATTATGAGACTGACTAAATGGTTATTTCTGGCAATGTTGAGTTTAACATAGCATATGTGGTCACTCTTCTTGAATTTTAATGATTTCCTGTATACATAAAGACAGTCATAAGGGATTTTATTAATGCCTGATGCATGAAGGTGTGGGTGTTCCATCTTTTATAACTTAGAACTTTATTTTACTGGCAGATTTAAAAGAAATCCATGAACCACATTATCTGAAGCATTTAGAAAATAAAGGGCTGAGTTTAGGGAATGGCAAATAAACAGAAATAAATAGTTTTAAAGACTTAAAGGTGATGAAACTCTGCAAAGCTTCTTATACACGGTGTCAATGATGATTGTAGGACTGCATAGGAAACAGAAATATCTTCTAGAATATTAAGTTCCTTTAGCAAAGTGGAAGAGGTAGATTGTAAGTGAATTGCATGATTAAACTAACCAGTGTCATTAAAGAGCAAATGTAGTACTTTGGGAACTGTTTTACAGCTTGAAAAAAATTTAGATCATAAGAAATCAAATGTGAAGTATGAGAAAAATCTTTCCTTAATTAAATTAGTTTTCTTTTCACTGCAAAACATTGAATTATTTAATTACCATTACAGTAATGTGCTAATATAAAGTTACCAAATTATAAAATGTCTTTTTACTGAGACATGAATTTAACATAAAAAGAAGATGAGGTCAATACACTAAATACCAAGTGCACTGACATTTTTTTTTTTTTAGTCAACTTCTAGTGCATATGCTTCTGCTCAAACTCTTGTTATTCTTTGTTGATCAAATAAAATCTCCATTTTTCTTTGCCATTTAAGCATTTTTACATTTATATAAATATTAATGTTAAGAAAATTATATAAAAAAATACAACTTCCTATTACTTCTTTGCTGCTGTGGTAATGGCAGATTATAAAAAAGTGGAGCTTGAAACTATTAATTACACAACAAATTTATTATCTCAGCAATGATATTTACAAGAACACCAGTTACACAATAAGACCTCAAAATGTACCATACTGAAACAAGATTTTTCTCCCTCCTTTTCATCCCTTTAAACAAATCTTTGTTGCATGCTCTTAAAGTATAAAACAAACATGATTAAAAAATAAGATCGCAGCAATAATATTTCTCTTGTCTCCTAGAGTTAGCTTGAAAGATATTCAACACCTGGTATGTACAGCTACTGTATTAAATGAGGATTTAAACAGAAAACTTAAAGCAAAATAATGTTTGAATATTTAAAATGTTTTAAAATGTCAGAAATATAAATACATGATATTTTGCAGAGAACCAGAACAGATTCTTTTTTGCCATTATAAATATACTTAATATTTTGAGTAAACGTATTTAAAAAACACTTCAAATGAAGGCAAAAAAGAACTCATTCTTGTAAGAGTATTTTCAGAAAGAAATTAACAAGCCTATATACATATATTTATCAGATTACATATCCAATTTTCAAGCTAGCTTTAGGGAGATAAATTCGATATATTATGCTGAATGAAGATAAAAATTAATTTCCACACATCACTTAAGAACAGCTCTATGTCATTAAATATATTATGTTAATACAGTTTCAGACAACAGCAATTATTTTTGATGGGACATTAAATGCAGTTTATGAAAAGAAGAGAGCAGAATTAATCAAAGAAAAGTTACTTATTCAGTTAGTCAAAAACCGGGTGCACAATAGCAAAGCATGTAACATATGTTTTAGAAATATATTATGATTTTACAGAAACAAAATTTTTAATTTAACTGAATCATTAAAATTTTTCAATCAGAAAAAGAATACATTCTACATTTTTAGATTGCATTGCTTTCCATCTCAACCACAAAATACAAATATTTAAAGCTCGATTTCATCCCATGATTAAAAATTTTATTTCACACAAACTTGCATTTCTGAAGTTTTACAATTTTTATCAGTAATTTTAAATAGTTTAGTTTTAGGTATTAAATGATTTATAAAAATTTGTTTTCACTGAATGCAGAACATTTACATAAAAGAAAACGGCTAATAATTAAATAAACAAATACTTATTATATGAGCGAAAATATAATATATTCAAATCATACTTTATCTGAAATATATTGAACTGAACAGATTCTAAAAAATACACTGATTTAAACAAAAATCAGCTGAATGGTTAAACATTAGAGTGCAAATAAAAAGTAAACCAATAATTTATCACATGTGAAACACAAAACGAAAGTATTTCAGAAGAGAAAAAATTTTTTATAAAAAAGTATATGCACATTTTAGATACAAAGGTCTTACAAAATGAAATGCTATACTTCATTCCTATAGGAGGGAAGTAGCAAAATAACACAAATAAGTGTATACAACATAAGAAGATAAAATAATTTATTGCATCTCAGGCCTATACAAGTTAATTCTAGGATACCATGTTTCAACACCTTTAGTATAACATGTTTTGATTTTTTCCATATCACTCTTGTCAATTAAGACAATCAGTTAAATATGTGCACTTAATCAGGTTGTAATGTTAAAGCACTTATATGTACAAATTAATAATGTTTCTGTTTATTTACATTGTGCTCAAAAAGTCTTCAATGCGAAACGAGAAAGTGCTTGGACTGGTTTACTTGAGCCAAGTAAAGTGTGATTTAGCTACTATTAATCTTCCTGTTGCTAACTTTACTATTGTTAAAGAATGCTGTTGTGTACAAAAATATTTTTATGTGAAAAAATATTCTGAACAAAATTTTTAGCATTTTGCACTCCACTATTTGAGTGCTTAAATATTTTAAACTTCAAAATAGTATTCCAAAACTTTTCAGTCATCAAATTTTAAGTTTCTAAGAAAAATTAATACCTTCAAGTAGAACTTTAGTCTCTTAATAAACTATACTACATACTAAAAATTTATTTTTATTATAAAATAATTAAATTCAGCAATTAATATTAAATTTTATATAAGTCATATGCTAAAATGATGAATAATTTGCATTAAACACAAGCATTTTGCTATCATGACCCTAATATGCAAGAATATACTAAACTACATTCTTGTTTTCAGGAGCAAAATTTATAGAAGGAGGATTATAAAATCAGTATCTTAAACATGGTTATTGAATGCAGTGCAAATTAGCATTAAGGTTTCAATTTAAATAATTAAAATATTAAACTGTTTTATCTGAAAGAGTTTAAAATTAAATTACTATCATATAAAATTAGAAATGCTAACAGTAAAAATAGGAGAATTTCGATAATTATTCACAAGCTCAGTAAAAGAGGAATAAATCTATTAGGCTTAAATGAATAACAATTTTAGAACATTTTATTATACTTTAAAACATTTATTCAATACTCCATTTCAATATTTTATATCAGAAACCTAGGCTACAACACAGTTAGTACCTGCTTGATATAAATTCAGAACTGGTTTCTTTAAAACACAGTATAGAAAGTACGTGACCAAACGTTAAAAAAATTAATGCTGTAATAATTATATGTTAGATGTAACTGATAAAAAGATTTATATTTTTAATACTCACAAGTAATCCCTTTTCTTTCTTTTTACAAAATTCAGGAACATGCATTAACACAATAAATAAGGTTTCATGACAATAGAAAGAATAGTTTTACAACATTTTTAATTTCCAAAACTAGAAATTTAGATTACAAAAAGATCTATAAATATTAATCTTAAAAAGTAGAGTAAATAGCATCAATCACATCACTTATCACCAAATTTTTATTGTAGCTTGTAAATTTAGAAAAATACTTTCTTTAGAAATAAAATAAACCAAAAAAAAGACATCAGAGGACAACATTTAAAAAGCCTCATCCAACCAAGAAGAAAAAGCAATAAAATATATAAACAGAAGATAGAGTAATCCTTAATTTTTTTTTACACATTTCAATAATTAAAACCATTTGAATAACATACGATTTTTACACATCTAAACATTACGTGAATCAAAGGAAAGCTGATATGAAGAACTTTTAAGTGTTAATTACAATGAACTTGGCTTATAATGATACAATTACACATTACTAAAACAATTTCTGGAGCAAATATTAATCTCGAAACTGTAATCTTCATTTAACAATTATATACACATTCCTTTTTATAATGACAAATTTAAAATGGTTAAAAACCAAATCTAAAAATTTGAATGCTCAGATTTAATAATTTTAGCTTTTATGCTATATGTACATTTTAACAACATATAAAATATTTACTCATGATAAAGGACCTTGCAACATTACTTTTCAAAGAAGGCACATTCATTAATTTTAGAGTATGCTCTTATTTCTAATATATATCATTAATTAATATTTTAATACATATTAAATTCTTTATTAAAAATTACCTCTATTTATTTACTGGTTGAAAGTACAGTCAGAAAATCTGATTATTAAAGCTTTTTAAAGCACTTGTAAAGTGAAATATATTGTGTACAACTGATGGGCTTAGCTTTATGTTTTGCTAACAGAACCAACAGCGCTTTTTAGGTACAAGGAAAGATAAATTTTCCACCAACAATATTATTTTTATTTTAAAAAACTGCTTATTATGGTACAAAGTATTTAACTGCATGGAATTGCTTACAATAAATAAAATAATTAACTACCAAAATTTAAAAGCTAATTCAAATTTTGCTTCACTCATAGTGAAACAATTTATCTAAAAGATAAAATTACAATATATTTAACAAAATTTCTAATAATGCAATTATCTTTTTCATTACTTGTATTATTTATTATGAAATTAGCAAGAGTATGAAACGTTTAGGAAAGAAAAATGCCTCCAATATAAAATGGCATCAGATACAAATGGGAAAAATACACATAAGCAAAAAATAAATGCATTATATAGGCAACAATATGATTGCAAACGCATCTGAAAATTTTAAATTGATGCAAGTTTTGTCAACATAAGTAAAATTAATTTAAAATAAAATATGAAATATGGAATGAAAATAAAACAGAACATCCCATCTTTCTATGCATTCATTTAAAAGATTTGTACATAAAAAATCTCATTCCTAATTCATTTATCATTTAATTTCCATGCCTAATGAACCCAGTATCTCTTATTTTTCCTCAATGTGATGCTCTATAAAAAGGTTAACTATTGCATTATAAGAAAAAAATTTATATATATAAACACGCACTGTCGTTTTAAAGGTAGGAGATACTAAATTCTTCTAAAAATGTATTTTTTACCCTTTGAAAAATATAACACTTTCACAGATCTTATACAGTTATATATATATATGGGGGGGGATGATTTAAGAGAAGAAAACACTGGAACTTTCAATATCCATAATGGCTGATGGTTAAGGCATACCAATGAAAATAACAAAACTGGATTTTTTATAAATCAATCTTAATTTTCACACATACTCAATTAGTTTTTCAGACACTTTGTCAATCATTATTAAATATGATAAATTTCTACGTAAATTTTTTTTTAAAAAAAAGAAATGATGTAGGCATTTGAGAAGTGAAGCAGCGGGGATATATTAGCAGTGGCGAAGTTAGCTAAAGAATGACGTAATTAACTTGCCACCTGTATTTATATCCAAAGTAGATGCAATTGTAGAAACAAGCTATGATTGGTTAATATGAGTTTCAGTTACCCTTTTCAAGTAGCGTTATATAACATGGAAGGATCTCAAATTTGGGTGAACAGATAAATTTTGTTAGAGAACACCAAATCTAGAATAGTTCATTTTGAGGTCCCCAATTTTTTTAAAAGCAGCCATCATATTTTGTTATATCTTACATACATACATATATATATATATATATGCACACATACAAATATTTATGAAATAAAAATATGTAAGGCAAAATTATAACTTTAATTTGCAAGAGTCTCTTAATTCTCCATTTTAATTTGGCTATTTTATCTTTCTGTCTTAAAAATAGTAACAGTTGATAATAAATCCCTTCAAACTGTATCATTTTAAAATGAATCCTGGTGATATGAACCTTACATAATACTCATGATGCAGGTTCTTTCTTACACAAAGTTTTCCCCCAATAATAATTTCAAATGATATCAGATCTGAAAATCAAAACTTTTAGCAGCCAATTCTGAAACCTTTTTATTAAACAATAAGAAAATTTGGGAACCATAACTCAAATCACTCAGAGTCCAGCTTTCATCTCAGACACATGGCATTACTGCTCTTGCTTACAGTCCTGTGAACATGTTTCTGCATATCTTTGTCTTCCATTCATTATACTGTTATAACTTGCAGAACAGACAAAAATGTTTTCAAGACGATCATGCACACTGCACCTATTATGATGTATAATTCATATTAAATATCAAGAATAAATTTAAATGTGTGAAATCGCTCACTATGACTGTTAACACTTGCAACGAGTCTATTCATATTTCTCTCTCTAAGTCATGTCCACAAGTGGCCAAGTAGTAAAGTCATTGTACACAGGTAGTTCAGTCTGTGGTTTGATTCCCAGCAGATAGGCTGCCTGCAGTGGTTTTCTCACAGTTTTCCATGTGTGTAACATGGATATGAACCAGTTTCCCTTAGAAAGTCCTCCACAAAGGCATCCCTTCTCTTAAGCAAATAGGCCCACGCATGCTTTGCCATAATCAAGTAAACTAAACTCTACTTAAGTCATGTTCTCCATTACACTGAGACATTAGCTTCTAAATCATCCCATATATATCTGTTCTGTGAAAGTGTCACATTATATACAAACATGTGTGCAATAGCTAAACATAGGAGTATACAAATGCTAAACACACAATTGCAGTGTGTTAAATACAGTTATTTGTTACATTTCAAAAAAAATTTGAAGAATAGCCAGATATTACATTTGTAAAAAAAATTTATAAATAAAAGAAAATAAAAAGAACCTTACTTTCTGCATAAAACACTTTAACATATTCCATTAAAAATAAGTAAACATGATTTCTAGAATAAAATACCTACATTGTTTAAATGGAAAGCGCTGTGTTAGTTCATTAGCATTTTTTAAAAGATATTGCAGTGTGTAGACTGAATCCTGAAAACTGCTCTTAAAACTATATATATTGACTTTTAATGAAAATAGAGAGAGCCCATCAGATTTTTAAGATTCACTTAAAACTTTGGCAGGATTACATGGACCATATATATTCTACCTTCTTTGAAGTATCTATTGTTAATTACAATTCAGTCATTCTAATATGACAAATTAACAATCAAAAATGAGATAAATAGTTTCAAAGGGAATGAGGGACATAGACTATGCTTATATTCCATATATTTAACAAATAACAAATGGACGTTCAAACATTTCGGTGCATTATTTTACACCAGTCACCATAATATTACAGTTCTTTACTGTTATACAACCAAATTAGGTGACAGTAAAAGAAATTATAAGTTTGTAAACATCAGTTTCATAAATTCCATGGGGAAAGTTCATGTTGAAACAAACTGATGTTAAAATTCATGGTCAAATAAATAATGTTAGAATCCATATGTGTGAATGAATTACACAAAATCTCCCTGATATAAAAATAGTCCCCAGTTATGTTCATTCAAAAGCAATTAAAAAATAAAATACAGTCCATATGAGATGCAGGGGCTCACAATCTCTTGAATGGAACGAATTTTATGATTTCCTTTTCACAGCTTTATACATATTTCTGGAATACAAGTTACACTGTACTGGTCATGAAATTGCAAGCAAATTTAGCTGCACTAGCGTACTAACATCACGCTCCTGTACAATCAATTTCAACAATGTCTTTAGGTACATCAACAAACTGATACACAAGGCGCTGCCCATCAACTTTAGCCAAGATACCTCGTTGGTAATAATACCTAAAAACAAGAAAAACATGAAAAATATAAAAAGCTGAAAAAGTTATCATTGTTTACATATAAATTAAACATGACATTTAAACTGCATTTTCAGCAGTTATTTGCACAGTTATGGGTATACAGTTTGTACCCATTTGTGATTACAACATCAAAACAAAATGTAATATGATGTGCACTTATTTATCATCTGCATACTTTTGATTTTAATAAAAGAAAAAGATGTAATACATACAGTAAAACCCCCGAATAACGGCAACTAAAAGGGAGCCTTTATCCCATTTTACAGTCGTTGTTCGGAGGTTATATCCAGCACGAAGTAGCCATCATGATCCAAAACTGCTACCTAATATTTTATTGTTACCATTTCTCTAATAGAAGTTATTGGAGGTTTTACTATATATCACATCTAATTGAAATAAAAATTAAGTAAGTAATTTTCACTTACCTAAGAGCCCTTCCCATAGTTTCATAATTCATGTCAGGTTTATTTTTATGAAGACCCCATAGTCTGGACACAGCTTTTGAGTCAACTAACTTGAAAATGCCTTTTTCTCTGTGTGTCCATTTTATGTATCGAGGACAGTATTCCTTGTCTTGGAGTAGCTTTAGTAAGAATTCCCAGAGGTATGTAGTTGAACCTAGGAGTTGAAATTGGTATTTAGTTTAAATATTTAAAAACCTCCCATATACTGCAATCTAAAAACCCAGAGTTCTTGGACTACAAAATAAAGTTTATTCCAAACATAAGCATCTGCAACACAAACAAGTTGCAGTTTATTATTCTAAATATGCCACAAAGCCTTTCCAAACTCAAGACGAATTTTACCAATACAGAAAAAGGAATCAAGAATGAAAATATTAAACCCACCAGTTAGTTCCAGCACATAAGGAGTAACAGAGATGGATAAACTTTAGGCTTTAAGCCTAACATGACTGAATACTTATGTAAATGTTATCTGCATTTTCACCTACATGAGATACCAATCATTAAAATCTGCTGAAGAACAAGAAGTTAACAATAGGAAATAAACCATACTATCAAAAAGCTAGACATCCAAAGAACTTTTACTGACCTTCAAAGCATGTGGAAAACTTTTAATGATCCCAGCAGTATATACATCATTCCTTAATGAAAAGCTATTTCTATTATTTCAGAATCAAATATAATAAATAGTTATAATAAATAGTTACAAATTAAAGCCTTTCATAATTTTGTGAATTACATTTAATCATGCAAAAATTAATGAATATAATCTGAAAATTAAAAATTGCTTTTACTAATATAATGGGGAAACACACGAGATAAAAAATAATTTGACACAGATGCAATGAGCTAAATCATGCTCATGAAAATTATAATAACTGATACCCTCAATTTCCTGACATGTATACTTCATACAGACACTCTACATCTCCAAATGCAAAATGCATCAAAAAATTATCTTGATTAAACATGTATTTAATTGCAATCATCGTGAATTTTTTTAAAATATATTTCTGCATGAAAAAGAAGGATACTAAACTAAATATAACTGGAATTCAAAATAAGCATCCCAATATGTATTCATTGGTGATACATATAATGTGAAAGTAACTGCGATATATTTAAAATGATAAAAATTATTACTGATAAAAAGTGATTATAATAGAATAATATAAGAAAATTATTTATGCAGATTGCTTTATTTCCTTTTATTGTCTATAGAATCCGCCAAAAGTTTAACATGAGCAATTTTCCCTCTACTAATAGAATTAACAATTACAGAACCTGAAATACAATTAACATCAGAGCATTTTTTCCCACTCTTATTAATGAAATTTACAGTTTGGTTTTTAATGAACCTGCTCCAGATATGAATGCACATATGAAAAAAAAATCATAAATTCACCATATTCTCAGCAATGTCAGTCTAAGAACTACCTAATTTAAAATTGTTCTGCCAAATGATTTTAAGCAACTGTTTTAATTGGGAAAATGAATTGGCTTGGAGCTTTCCACAGTCATAAAAATTTTCCCATTTTAGTTAATGATTTCAATTCCAGGGCAAAATAAACTGCTTTTTAAATATCTCAATTTGTTGAAACCTCTTCATTCTTTTTCTTTCTTAACATATGGTGCTGCTTCTTCTGTTTTCCATTACACATGGTATTGTATATCACTTGTTTAGATTTACCTATCTTCATTTCTTAATCTTGTTCAACACTGAAGACAACAAGATCATTTACACCATTTAAGAGCACCTGGCAACTTTCCATCCATGTTATGCCAAACTTTTCTAAAAATGCACACTCCTTTTTCAAGATTCATTGTGTTAAATGGTATGCATGCATATATATATATGATTCAAAAAAAGTAATTAACTAGGACTGAATGTATTGTCCTGTTGTTGGGTATCATCCGTAGATATGAACAGAGAAAAAAAGAAAAAAGAATTTTATCTTAAAATACATATAGTGCACAAATTTCAGAAAGTATTTTAAATCTGCTTCTAAGACTTTATTAAAAGCATATTCACTTTCATTAGAAATTACCATGCAGCAAAATTCCAAAAGCATGGGTTTCAACCTAGCAGTGATTCACATGAGAATTTCTGTTGAGCTGTTAAAATGTTCTGAAGTGTTTCAGTTTAATTCCATAATTATATACATATATATTTATATATTCATAACTTAACTAACTGTACATGAAATGCAGATGCAAAAGATGAAGGATGTTTAGAATGTTTCTATGTCCCACACCTGTGTTGGGGAATGTAAAAGATAAAATATTTCACAATTATAATATGGATGGGTGGTTGCCTCCCACAATCTTGCACATTGTTAATAGTGCATTTTTGACTACAGGATTTATGTATTTACTATGAAAATATGTAAATTTACTATTCCATGGAAGCTTCTGAAAAGTTTGAGATGAAATCACTTATGCAGCACAATCTGAAGAAAATGAAATCCTTCTGTTTGCAATGCAAATAAATGCTTTAAATTCTGGAATTAGAAAATCAAGAGATTAAAAAAGTGAACTATATGCTGAAAAACAAACTGCAGACATAAATTTACATATGCATACTGCAATTAGTAACACTTGTAGGAAATCCAGTCAGCTCAATTCTCCATAAATTTTAAATATAATATGTACATTTAAGTAACAATCAATTTAGTTCATTTTACACCTAGCAACTAAACAATCTTCCTCCTTTCTTTGATATTTTTAACAAGAATTCAAAACTTTAATTAAATTCAAAGTTTCATTCCCCCTTCCCCATCCCCAAAAAACGTTTATACTGCATAAATATTCGATCTTATACTATTATAATAACCTGGAGGAATGAAGGATACTAAGAAGCTAATCCTGTACCATATCATTACAGATTTTAACATAACTCCAAAGTTTAATTTTTTATTAATATACTTCTTGTTAACATTGTGCAAAGCATCACTATTTGCAGTGTATAAAAGGCCTTGAATGAATAAGATCATTGAACACATAGCATCAATTTTCAATAAGGTTTGCAGTGTACAAGAGGTTCACAAATTTTTAAATGAATAAGATCAAGGAAATAACTTATAATGTAAAATAAGCAAAAGAAAAATCTGGAAAAGCCCTTTTATTGCAGACCTAAGCAGCCTAATATATGTTAAACATTAAAAATGGCCAAAACCATAAAAGCATTTGTGTAGCCAAGGTTCACCAGGAATATATCTAAGTCAACATAAAAATATCAGTTCACAATAATTCTAGCTATTCAACTGATGAACAAGTAGTACCCCAATAAACTAAACTGTTAGAAAAGTATTGCTTTATTTACACAAAACAAGTCTTTCACAATAATTTCTTCAAAACAGACACTTCTACAACAGACTTCAAATGCTTAGCTTTAAGCAATCATCCAACAACTATGATACATGCTTTTCCTTTCAAAAACACAAATCTTCCTTAAATTTCTGTATATTAAAAAGCTATAGAATTTTCACAAAAAGGAAAAAAAAAAAATGTTACCTACCTTTTATTTAAGAAAGAGAGCATTTCTCTCTAACTGCCACTGAAGTGAAAGCCTTATATAAAAATCCCAAAAAGAAAATACACTTACTTGCATTTCCAGAATGATTAACTAATTTGAAAACAAGACCACCTTTTTATCAGATAAAATTCTGCTATCGATTAAAATATAAAATTCAATGATATATAACAATATATGTGGCACATTCCGAGAGGCTTTTATGTGGCAATCATACCCATTTAAATTATCTTCTATTATTATTAATTTTTACAACAAAAAACAGAACTCTCAGAAATCAAAATACATATTATTGAATTAAAAGTATAATAAATATACCTTCTCTGCTTTTCCTTTTGATAGCTGGAGATCCATCTGGATTCTTCGGCTTTCTCCCTAAATACAAAAATAATTTATAAAATTTTCAGCTTATTTACAGCGTCTACTTCTTTTATTACAACAGAACATGTTTATTTTATGCACTACACAAAAGAGAAAATTCATTGGATAAAAAAATTTAGGAAAAGATCTGACACCAATTAACTTTCAGAACTCGAAATTTTAATTTTAAGATTCCCCTCCCCCTCAAAAATATCTGAGGGGAAAATTTGATGAAAAATTGCACATATAAAATATATCGAAGAAATTTAGCATTTACAAAATAGCCAGAGTATAATTAAAAATTTTTAAGCATGAAAAAAAGTTTCATATGATTATTTATACATTTGACAGAACATCATGTCTTATTACATAAAATGGTTGTACCTATTACTAAATGAACTGATTTTTACAGCATATTTCCTACTGCCAAAATTTTGCTATTTTACAGAGATATAATAGTCAATCTCCCTTTGCCAAAAAAAGCATTGCTGACATACAATAAAAAAGCAACACATCTTTATGATGCAAATATTCATTAACATTGTCCATAATAATAAAAATATAATTATTTCATGCCATAAATGAATTAGATACCTTATGCTACATGGCTTGAGGGCCACCTAATTTACCACATTATTTTCTTATGCTAGTTTCCAGTCTCTATGATCTATCTCAATTACAGTTTCTATGATTTCAGTCACTCTGCTATAAAAGGGTTATTTAATCAATTATAGCAAAGCATCTGAAAGCTGCTTTGAAAACATTTGCTCAAAGAAACTGCCTCTAATTCCCATAATATAATGAGGGTGTAAGGTTATTATTTAAATTAACCAGTTATTTATAATATCAGCATTTCCTATAAATTCTCCTTCCAGTTTCCTCACCAGAATGTAAATGAGTTAGTCAAAGATTAGTCAAAGAGAATGTACATGAGTAAGTCAAAGTCTAAAATTTAAACTGACATTTCAGAATTTTAAGACACAGCAGGTTTCTGTCTACACATGCATGCTACATTTAGTTCCTGCCAGCTTTGATAACTGCAGTTAAATTGGTTTTGCATTATTCCACTGCTAACAATTTGATTGATGCTCCGGTTAGAATTCCTCAGCCAGCTTAGAGTACATTTAAATTCTGTAATCTTTGACTACTATTTCACATCTTAACTTGAATTTGACTATTCCTTTAGTTGCATCACAACAAGCTGTGGTTGACATTATTAGCACAAGAAACGCATTTATATTAGATTCCTGTTTAAATAAAAAGGTATCTAAAACGTTTTCATGGCTCGTGGTTATTTCAGACATAGTGCACTTTATGTCTGATGGGGTTATTAGTTACAGATTTAAAAAAAAAAAAATCCCCATAACAGAAAACATAAAAATGCCATGCAGCCAGCCCATTTCCTGAGACTCAAAGCTAGATTACACTCCCAGTGTTCCAGCATTTTTACTTGCATGGCCAACAATGAGTGCTTTTGCAAAATAAACATACAATCGAATTCAAGTATAACAAACCCGACTTAAAATGAACAAACCTCTTGGACCTGTCCAATTTCCTATACACTTAAAATGTTAATTAATACTGTTGTGATGAACTTCCAAAGGTATGAAAAACAGATATAGCAAATTGTATGGATCGTTCCGATTGTAACTTTTTTTGTATTTTTCAGGAGTTTCTACACATTTCAAGTAAAAATTTACTGACCCTTAAAATCATCCTCAAATTCCATTTGTAAACGGAAACATCTTTACACTACTTTTATTCTATCTTCATGCTCCTTTTTTCTGTGTTCTAAACAAAGGCTCTGCAAGGCAGGTGTGAACCTAATTCTAGCAGAATGAAGACACAATAAGCATATCTTAAGGACACCATAACGCGTTCATGGCACTGAACCAAAGAATGTGAACAGATTCTCTGATTTGAGTCAAATTCTTTAATTAAAAGTTGTCAGACTGAATTCTATTCAAAGCTGATGCCATAACTAATTCTAGTAGAATGAGGACACAATAAGCATATCTTAGGACACCAGAAGGTGTGCATGACTCTGAACCAAAGAATGCGAATGGATTCGCTGATTCAATTCAAACTCTTTAATTAAAAGTTGTTAGACTGAATTCTATTCAAAGCTGATGCCATAATGGAAACCCTGAAATTTCTGCTATTCGAGGGGAAAAGGATCTGCTTAAAGCTTTTCTTTTAGGAAAGGTGTTGTGCATTCGTGGACCACATTTTTCAAAGCAAGACGCATGAACATTCATGATGAATCTAGGAGTGGTAGTTCTTCTGCAGTAAGTGATGATATCATCAAGGATACTGATGACGAAGTTCATGAGAACCACCAATTTACAATGTTGGAATTTTTTAAACATTTCTCTGACTGTTTTATAGGAGGCAGGCACTTGAAAATTAAGACTACCAGAAGTTTTATGCTTAGTGAGTCCTAAAAATGCTTATGGAGATCCACAAAACCATTCGACTGAGCTTTGCCTTAAACTTTCTTTCCTACTATAACACAGAAGAGTTTACTAACAGTGGCTGGTGACAAGACGTGGGTGGTATATCTGAATGCTGCGACGAAACAAAAGTCAACAGCATGGGGTCATACCAGTTCTCTAAATAAGCTGAGGAAAACCTGTCAGACTTTGTCAATGAGAAAAGTTATGACTACCATCTTTTGGAATGATATGAAACCTGGTACTTATGATGTTTATTGTAACACTTTGAAGAAATTTAGAACAGCTATTGAGAGCAAATGTCACAGTCTGCTGACATCTGGCATTGAAACTTTACATAGCATTACTCATCACAAGTCACTTCAAGGTTTGTAGCACCTTGAAGAAATTCAGAAGAGCCATCGAGAACAAATGTCACAGTCTGCTGACATCTGCAGTGTGCTTCTGCATGACAACACTTGCTTTTATACTGTTTGGTAAACACAAGACCTTTTGCTCCAATTTTGATTGCACAAAAGATCTTGGCTCTTTCCGATTTTCATCCGTTCAATTCATTTGAAGAATTAACTCGATGACCAGCACTTTGCTGACAATGGGGTTCTTGAAATTGCTGTGGCAGGTTAATTAAAATCCCAGTTGGCAAAATTTCATGCAGAAGCGAATTTTAAGTTGGTGAAGCACTAGGACAAATGCTGAATTTACATAGCATCTATGTTGAAAAATAGAGTACGTCCATACTTTTCAGATAAAAAATGAAAGTACTTGATGAAATTGAGAAAACTGTATGTGCCATAAGCTGCAGTATAAACTTTAAATTAGATTAAAAATACAAATAAAAATATGAATAAGTCAAATTACTTGAGAATTTAGTGTTACTGGAAAAGAATTAATGCAGGGTGATAATAAAACAACCATAAAAAAATGAAGTAAATGAAGAAAAATGGTAACTTGTAAAATGCAAATCAAAACAGTAAATAAGAGATTTAAAAATCTTCCAATAATAGAAATTACCTACCATGACTCGTAATGGTTGATTGCATGTCATGTGCTGCCTGCCCTCCAATGAGACAGCACAACAGACAATTTCTATTATCAACAGGTTTTTCATGTCCTATTTACTGCTTTAATTTTGATTTTTGCAATTTAAAATTTTTCTACCTTTGCTTCATTTTCTGATGGCTATTTTACAGTCTCCTGCTTTTAGTTTCACTTATACATATTCTTAAGCAACTTCGTATCTAATTTAAAGTTTTATATCTGTACATATATTTAATGAAATATACACATATAGTTATCAATGCATACATACATATGTACTTATACATTGATAAATACTACATATGTTTATCAATCTACATCAATACGTATACACTTATTTTTAAAATGCTCAGAGCTGTAACTAGAAATCTTGGCCACTAACAGAAGCCCACATTATATAAAAGGATCAACAAAAAGAAAGCGGATGAATTTGAAGCCTTTAATTAGTTATAGCACACATATTCTCAAATTCTGCACCAAATCAAAAACTCACAATATATGCATATGGGTCATTGTCATATCTTAATAAATAATACCTTTTTTCTTTATTCTAGCTGGGTAAGATAGGTCTTCTACATATGAAGCAGGATCAAGGTCTAAACCACACGGACTATTGTGCGTGGCTGTGATTACTGATGTTGGAATGGCTGGCTGATGTCCACCTCCTAGCGGCGAGTGTAAGCCTGAGGAGGATGGGATGCCAGTTGTTGATGAGGATGGAGAACAAACACTGTTGTTGCTGTTCCTTGTGAGAGCAAGGGGTAGTGGTGACATTGGAGCACCATGATGTGTAGTACTAGAAACTTGAGGATGAGGATGATGACCAGATAGATGTGCCTGTAGCTGTGAGATGGAAGTTGCATGCAGCGTGTGACCCAGAGGATGATTTGACGTTGGAGAGAGATTACTGTATGTGCTGTGTGGCTTTTGAGAGTTAGAAGTGTCAAAATACCCGTTGTGCTGTTGTAATTGTTGTTGATGCTGCCGTTGTTGCTGCTGGTGGTGGTGCTGTTGATGTAGCTGCTGCTGTTGTTGTTGTTGTTGTTGTTGTTGTTGTTGTTGCTGCTGCTGTTGATGATGATGTTGCTGTTGCTGTTGTTGGTGCTGTTGTGTTTGTTGTGCATGATGATGGTTATTTAATCTGTGATGTCTGTAATATGGTTGCGTTTGGCCAGGAAATGCAGATACGGGAAGAAGAGGATCTGTAAATACATGAAGACAGTTAAAAGTTAATGTGTGTTAAAACAGCAATCCATAAAGACATCAATGTACTTTGCAAAAAATGAATAGCACATTTATTAAAGGCACTTTATATATCAGTTTTATGAGTTGCTGCATTAACATAAATCAAGATTTTTATGTTTAAAAAAGTTAAAAGATCAATAGCATTTAATGAAAAATATTTTACCTAAATTTCATGAAACATTTAAGAAATGTGTAAGCAATTTACCTTATAATCTGCAATTAAAAAAATCAACTGAATAATGTAAGCAAAGCATCAAAATCCAAACCTTAAACTATTCCTGAATTTAATATTAAAGCAACATATTTACATTTTAGAAAAATCTGCTGATTATTATTAGTATTATTATTATGCCACAGATACAGTTAACTCAATTTGGATTAGCTTTTCAGTATTCTTTAAATTCGAATTATCCTTCTGTCTCTTTTGCTCAATGAATGACACCATATGCGAGTTAATTTTTAATGCAATATAACTGTTATATGATTATTGCCCCCTAAAAGGAGACAAGATGTCTCTTGAAATATATAAAGCGTTCTAAAATTCCTTATTCTGAGGCTGAAGTTTCTCAGATTTTAAAAAAACCAGAGTAATAATATATAAACCAGTATAGAATAATCAATATAACTTGGAGGTTATATCTTTAATTCATACTGTTGCAAAATTAAACAAATACTAATTTCTCATACAAGAATAATCTGCATACGGTGAGCCTGCACTGGACAGCAGAATCTAGGGGCGGCAAAATTTTTAGGATTTAGGAAAGAACGGGGCAGTAGAATTTTGGAGTTTGCATCAGATGGCAAAAAATCTAGTACCAGCCCTGCCTATCATTCATAATATACTAGACACTTCCTGAACACTTTATGTTTGCAAAATATGATACATAGCTCACAGTTATAATCTGACTACTTTGAAAACAGCCTGATCAAGAAATTGATTTTAAGAGAATGAGTTCATTTAGCACAGGCTTGTCTGCTAAATGCTGGGCATGTCATAAAAATTCCAACTTACTATACCACCTGCACTCATAGCTCAAGATAAGATACAGCTTTTATTTTCATAATTGGTATCACATGACTTAAACTATTCGCTAAAAAAAAATCTTCCCTGTGAACGTTCATTCTAAAATTCATGCAGACCAAGACTGTTCTTGAAGTTATTGGACTAGCTCATCCCATCAACAAAAAAGCTTATTACTCTTGATATAGATGATGATTCTAACATTCTAAAGTCTACGCACAAAAAGGAAATGGTGGTGGAGAGCAGAACCTTTTTTAATGCAAGTAGCTAACAGAGATTTAATTTATAAGTATATTAAACAAACTGCACAGAATTTTGAAAAACCAGGAAATAGTACAAATTTACCATAAAACTATATAGAAAAACCTTTGCAGCTGTTTGTCTGGCCACACTGCACTTGCATTGTGCTGTATGTCAGCTCTCAGCAATCACAAAACATTATTTAAATATTGTATTGATAGGTTACAGTTGGTTGGTTACTGGAATATGGGAAAGCATGTAAGGGTAATTTGCCTGAAGGGAGGAATGCCTTCATGAATAAGATTTTTGCACAGTTTTATAATTAGTCTAAAAGGTTTTTGTCTCTGAAGGACTATTGTTTTCATTTTGCGATTTTTCACTGAATCACTAGAAATGTCCGTTTCACTTTTCAAACTGTTGCCACCAAATGTTAGAGTCCTGCATTATATTTGAAAAAATTAAATAATGAAAAATCTGCATAAATGTATGTATATTTCTCGTATTGTGATACAACAACAGTACATAGAGCCATCAAATTTTGAATGACGTAATCCTCCTATAAATATTGGCATGTGGAAGACCAAATTTGAAATTTGTTTTATTATCGATTTCATATTTTGTAAAACTTTAACGAAGTTTTGATTAACAAACTTAAGGATTTCAAAGCAAGCAATGGCAACACTCTACAGGAGTAAACATTTTTATCTCCAGCACGCGGAACTGTATATCAGAAATTCTAAAGATATGCTCATTTTAAAATTATTTTGCGACATTGCTATTGAATTGAATTTTATGGTTTAAGTGCAAAGAACATGATATTTAATAAATAAAGGTAACACACAAAACGTTAAAAAAACAGCCCTTTGGACATAATTTAAAATCTAAAATCTTTCAGATTTTTTTTTTTTTTTTTTTAATTTTAAGAATTAAACTTACACTAACTTCCTTTTGCTTATTAAAAATATCTATTTTTATAATGATAACGCTCATATCACATTTCACGCTTGTTTAATTAATCAGACAGCTGCTTAAAGAGTTTTAAGAGGTAAACACACCCAAAAAGATCTTTCATGGATGAAGAAAACCCTAATTCTGATTTCACATTCTAAGCCATTTTAGATGATATTAAAAGGACAGACTATTTTGAGCATTCCAATTAAAAAACTCCAGAGATAAAAGATTCACTTTAAACTAATTGTTATTGCACAGCCTGTCATAATACAGAATGCTTCAAAAAGCACCATACCAAAAAAATTAGTAGCCATAATATTTACTATAATATTCAGGAAAATAATACTGTTTTCAAATACTTTACAAAGACCTGACAAGATATAAATACATTTTATAATTTGATATAAGCTTATGTAATAAGCATACCACAGACGAAGAGTAATTCTAAGTAAAGAATCCATGTTTGAAATAAACACATTTGCAAATGATTGATTGTAAAGCATATGAAGGCTATCGGCTTCAGTTGAGGGATATCTTTGTAAGCAACTTTCTAAGGAAATCTTACTCATACCCATGTTATGCCAAAAGAAACCAGGAAAATTCAAACAATACAATGTCACTAAAATAAAACCTGGGATAATAAAACTACAACTTTAGTCACTCAGCTGCCAGCAAACAAAGGAAACATTTGAGGGCCTTTTTTTTAATAAAACACTTTTAATCTTGTTACTATTATTAGAGTGTATTTTCAACATTCATTTCTGCACTTTTTTATAATTTTTATCTTGTAAAGAAATTATTAAGTTTCTACATTTTAATAAACACCAAGAAAGAACTTTTACCGTATTTTTAAAGGCAGGTGTTAAGTGCTGCCATCTAATGATCTAAAACAGAACTATTTCTTAACTAAGTCAAATTATAACACCGTCAGTTGTTAAAAACCTTTGAAATCAATCATTAGTAATATCAGTTTAAACAGTCATCAAATGATATTATGCAAAGAATTTATTCAACAGCTTTCAAAGCCCCAAAATAACTTTAGAATTTCTGATAGAGTGCTTGACGATGCCATGCATATTTTTATATTCACTATATTATTTCTTTAAAACTGGCTCCTTAAAATAGTTATCACAATATATATATATATATATATATATATATATATTGTGATAACTATTTATATATATATATATATATATATATATATATATATATATAATGATTTTAATGAGTCTAGGTAATGGTATTTCATAAAAGTATTGAATATTTCTAATTAAACATCTTATGATTTTATTACATTTTTATTTAAATCAGTCACACGATTAAAGTAGAAAACATATTCTCAAGAACTGTGTTTAATGCTTTTAATTCACTTAGTTTATTACTTAGCACCCTTCCAGATTAAATTTGGAAGTGTCTTAGGCTTTACTGAATGGCACTGTTTATTCATTTTTAGGCTACAGCTAACAGTAAGAACAGATTAGAAAATTCTAGAAACTGGAATTGAAAAACTGATACATGACTTATGTAGAATTTTTGCCAGCCAACCATATGTGCTAGTACTAATGTATCCTTAAACATTTCATTCGATTTCACTGGCAGAACTCGAGGGGGGTATACTTTTGGTTCGTCCGCCATTTTTTAATTGAATTAGCCGGCATGATAAAAACTGAATATAATGGTAGCGCGTTTGACTCCAGATCCTATCTCACTACACAAATGCTAGCTGTACTTATACAAATGCAGTCGCACTTTTAAAGTCCCTTACGGTTAAGAATATTAATAATAAATAATTACAGATTAATAATATTAACGACTGGAATGTTATTAATAATTTAATATAGTTTACGAATAAACAGCTGAAATTACTGTACTTTAATTCACGAGCAATACATTGTAGTTTAATTGCTCTAACTACAGCGTACGGCTCGGAAAGTTCAAATTTCTGTAAAATTAATTACTCCTTCCGTTATACTCCGCGCACTATTTCCTCATTTTAGTTAACAAAGCAGAGTTATAATTAGTATGATCAAGTTAAATGCTTATTAAGTGCAGTTCGACAAGTAAGTAAACTCGTTCTCGATCAAGATACATATATCACATTTGAAGACATAGATGCAAATCAGGGTAAAAATAATAAAAAGTCTAGAGAGAACTGACATGAAATAATTAAAATTAAAAAAATGTGTAATCACATAGCTGATAGCTATATAAACATACGAAATGTACTATAAAAATTTCGAATCAAGGATTTGTTCATTTCTGCGACACTAGACGGCGCCACTGAATATGCTTAAAAGTGATCTCTTTCTGCAGTAACGGTAACCTTGAAAGGTGTATTGACACCGGACGAGCCATGCTTTCTTGTTTTTGTTAGCAGTCGCGTACAGGTGGACCGCTAACGTCAAAGAGAAACCTTCTGATTGGCTGATAAATGGGGAAAGCACGCCAATAACTGAACGTAATTAAGATTGGTTAGATAATCTTCCGTTCGCGGAATCGCAAAGCTTTCAAACTAGAAGCGGAAATGAGAATACTTGCGGGGAGAAAGGGGAAAACTTTCATTTGGATTGGGTTATTTACATTTTAAAAAAAGTGCACGAAGTCTTATCTGCTTACGCTGCATCCCAGTTTGATCGCGAGAACCTTGAGGGGATAGAAAAAATAATGCGAACCAAAATAATGTGACACACTGCATAGCAAAGCATACATATTCTTGAATAATTATGAATTTTACAATTTGAG